CAGCCCACTGACGTGTGCTACGATTCCAGTGAAAGTCTACACTCTGGACGAGAAGCGCTTCAATGACTGCATTACCGGCCTGGAGCGGGACCTCAAATATCTCGAGGTAGTCCTCAAGGGCGGGAAGAAGCACCTCGTCGGAAACCAGGTGACGCTGGCCGACTTGATGGTCAGCAGCATTTTGTTCAGCGGTTTCAAGCACGTCATTGATGCCGAGATGCGAAAGGATTTACCCAACGTTGTCGCGTACGCCAAGAACTTCTTCGACGTCCCGGCGCACAAGAAGCACTTCGGTGAGCTGGCGTTCTGCACGAAGCGGGTTTCGCTGTAGAGGGGTTGGGTTGGGTCGCACGACGTGGCAAGGGTCAGAGTACCGGCTAGTGAATATACTCAGGTAGTGATCATCAATGTAGGATACGAGATATGCGAGCAAAAAGTCTGAAAGAGTCTATGAAATCCGATGTTAAAATGAAATAACAGTGGCATTCCCTCTAGTTTCGAAGGCCTGGCCTCTTGTTAGCCGCCTTAATAAGAAGAACGGCGCGTCGTTTGTAAAAGCTATACGAACCACAATCCAGGGACGTATGGCTCTCCCCAAAGACGCAAAACACGACTTTTATTCCATCGCCGCGAACGAGTCCATTTCTAGCGATATCAGTCTAGGCAGACGCAGGTCTGGGCAGAGGCTGTATTCTTCATGCCCGCAGGCAAGTCTCCCCCTGGTGTGGTGTCACATCTAATTAGTGTCCTTATATGAGGAAGTCTGGAGACTAAAACCCCATTTTAACACCTACTTCACCCCTAGGCGGCACAACACTGTCCGCGGCGATCAGCGCTGTATTCTTCTATCTCTCTCGATACACGAGTGTATACATCAAACTCGCCGCCGAGATTCGGCAGACATTCTCATCCGGGGGCGGTATCGAAGTGGGCACATTACTGTCCCAATGCAAGTACCTCCGCGCAGTCATAGACGAGTCCATGCGCATGTCACCGCCATTCCTGGGCACCTTTTGGCGTGAGCCCTACGCCTCATTCAAGGACCCTTCATAGTAGACGGGCACATTATCCCGAGAGGCACTATAGTAGGAGTGAATCCTTACTGCATAATGCATAACGAAGAGTACTTTCCTGCTTCATATAGATTTCAACCGGAAAGATGGCTTGAGCCCGAAGATGGCATGCCTGACGACCCGCGCGAAACGGAGCGGAGAGTGACGATGCGGACGGCGTTTGCGCCCTTTGCGCTTGGGGAGACTGGGTGTCTGGGTAAGGCGATGGCGTATCATGAAATCAGCCTAGTTATCGCGAAGACCCTTTGGTATTTTGACTTTGAGAGGGATCCGGGAGAAGCAGGAAACCTTGGAGAGGGCTCGCCGGGGAGGAAGGACGGAAGGCATTTGAAGGAGGAATATCAGTTATACGATCTTTCAGTGGCGGATCATCATGGGCCGTCACTCGTTTTTACGATCAGGGGTAAAGTAGGTAAAGAACTGCGATCAAAGCCTGAAAGTTCATAAGCATCTGCGCCAGGCTAGCTTTACCCTAGCACTACCTAAATTGACTGTTATTGATATTCACCTTTTGCACACCAAGACGAATGTTATCTGCTTTCGGGATTTTTGAACTCCCCCTTTCATACAATTTTATATGCCGAGTCTACCTATATGCTTACATACGCAAGAGATACGACAAAGGCATGTATACAATAGTCGATCTGAGAACTTAGCTACCTAGCCGTCCATTATATACCCTATATAAGTGCAATAGTTCTACTATGTTGTGGTCATCTACGTCTATATCTAATTACAATCCAACCCCAAAAAGGGGCAACTAGATAGATTACTTGGCAAACCTACCACTCTAGATCCTTTAGAGCCCGCCTCGGTTACATACTTGGCTATTCGCACACATTCACTAGGCTGATTACTTGATGACCTTTCTTTGAGACGTAGCTACTTGATGAAATGTTTGTTTATTCAAGGCAATGGTAACTATTTAAAAAATGAGTGTTTGGGTAGGAAACTAGAATATGCCCATGTCAACCGAGACTCAAAAGACTATCATGGGAAAACGGGGGTGCGCGGCGATGAATATCAATTTAATACCCCACACCCCGCTGGCCTCTTCCCGATTTCCGATCCCATCTCAACGTCGTCGTTGGCGACTCGCCGCCGATAGATCATTTAGCCACTGTCGCTTCCAGGCTTGATACCTCGGGTCCGGGCAGTTGTCCTGACTGTAAGACTGTGTATAATGGCAGCTACGATCGCAAAGGTAGTGAGGGCAATCATAGCAGCTCCGCCACACGTTCACCGCCCGGCAGCGGCAGCACCTCCACGGACGTCCGGGGTGTTCGCATTCGCACATCGTGTTCAGGTATCCCATGGTCTGGGTCGGCAGGAAACAGGTCTTCCCTGTAGCCTTCTTCCTATCACACGGCTCGAAACTGCTCTCCTCATGTCCGCAACAGAGATAGCGTCTGCAGTGGACTTTGCACATTGTCTCGTCTGCGTTAAGCGGAGCTGCGGTAATGGATGGGGTAGATAGGTCGTAAAGCGTTGTAGGTAGGTATCGTTAGGGTCTTCCGTTCGAAACCGGGGTGAACTAGCATACAAGCAGGGGGTTAGTTGGGAGCTGGAACTAAAAAGGGTATTGAGGGATGTCTACAAGTAATGATAAACTATCCCCAGTGTTGAAAGAGATAGGTTTCATCCGAGACTGACGATAGATGTACCGTTCAATACAGAAGCAGCAGTTGTTTCCGTTCAAACTAGATCTCTGAAAGGTGAAATCGTGATAGAAAGGTACAGCTTAGATATAGGTGCTAGATGCAGAGAGGATGTGCTGGATATTTGCATTAGGGAGGCTTTGCCCAAAGGGCAGAAGGCCATTTATATGAATGAAATCTACGGCTCGCACAAAGTTTGACGAAAGGTGAGTATCGAAATCTAAGTGACGTAATGAATAACGAATACCGCCACGAGACATTGCCGTTTTGCTTTCCCCTTCTCGTAATACGTTACTGTGTCAGATACGTCACACAGACCTCTGAGTTTGTATTTTCCCTTCGAATTTGTTGGGCCGTTATTTTACTAGGGAATCAAAAAAAACTGAGCCTCTAAAAACGAGCTCTGGAGAGGAGGCGAATGTGAAGGGCGCGGCAGGAACGAGAGTCTAGAACAAGGTGATTAAGTAGAGATAGTTGCTAGTTGAAATACGAACTATATTCAAGCTGACTACATAGTATCAAGTAAGTTAAATGACTATCAGTTCTTTCCAACATGCGGGATTCGCCACTCCGTACTGCTCGTAGTCACGCTATATCCATCTCCCTTGGTCGTACAGACCAAACCCTGCGCGGATATTTCCGCCAGGAAAGGGAAGGGATGAGGGCGGTGTCACCTTTTCGGTGACGCAGGCGGCTCTAAGCAGATTGCTAGTCGATGTGTGTGAGATCACATGTCTCTTGCGTTGTTGAACTTGGGTAACCTGGTGTTTCAAGGGTTGATAAGGACTTCGTCAACACGTGGCAGCTAGGGGTGTTTGTTCGGATGTAAGGGCATACTGAATCCGGTCGCTTAAAGTGATACGACTATAGGGTTGCTAAAATTATCTATAATCCTCTTATAGTCCCACTGCTGGTATATCCAGAATTGACCTAACTTTTATCGTACAAGAAGAGAAGTTCTGTTTACCTGGTCGCGGGCGAGCCGCCCTGTGATTATATAAACCGCCTCACTGGCCTACACAACTCGTCCAATAACATTAGTTGCTAATAATTAAAAGACACTACAAATACTCTCTTGACGCTGGGGATCGATGTTCATTCACAGTGACAGTCGTAGCCCGCAGTGGCGATGTTGTTCTCGGGAGGTTAGTCATCTCTGGCATAGCAAAGGTGACTGACGTGTTTGCTGGTACGTGGTATAACGGGGCGACTGACCATCGGCTACTTTGTTGCAGACTCCTATGTGTCTACATGGCGAACTGCAACATTCCAGATCGCCTTGAAGAAATATGATGATATCATATGAACGATTGGCACAAATTGTATTGGAAACAATCCAAGTAGTCATAGGAATCTTAATAGTACCTCTAACAAACGGTGTAGCATTTTGTCATTTCACCCATTCCCTCATCGTTACTTCCTGGTTACTTCCTCATTACACTTGCTATAAACTTCAGAACTATAGTCCTTATTGTTGGTACCCCAAACTGGTATCATTTTCCTGACTAGTATTGGCATACTGAGAAATCACTAGTTAGTTTAGATTACCTATCTAGTTAGGCACGTACGGCTTACTGTGGGACTAGCTACAAGTGGTGTACACCAGCCCTAGCTTAAAGCCTACACAGTACGAAATCTTTACTACAGAATCTACTCCTTCAACACGGCTTGCACGAAAGGTTGGTTGGAACGTTGTATTGGGGGGAGGCTGAGCCCGACTCGTGGTCTAAAAGGTAGGTAGTCTAAGAGAAGTAGGCCGAAGGCCCCCAAAGCTACAGGCCTAACAAGAAGACTAAGGACCTAATAGGCTACGAGGAGCCGCCCAACGCGAAGCCCCCAACACGCATAGGGATGCAGGAGGTAGATAGGCCTAAGGAAGGGGATCTGTACTCCATACCGAGTAAGTAAGTACAAAGAACCTCCCGACCACCACACCAAAAACCACCCCCTTCGTAGGAGGTGGAAAAGTGTGAGGTGACGGAGGAAAAACCCTCCACGCGAGGGAGCGGCGAAGAGGCCCGTTTTAAGGGGGTGCCAACTCAGCTATGTTGCCAAGGCTATTTCAAACCTTTGGCCGCAACCGGTCCTCAAGCACACCGCAGGAGATATCAAAAGTAACGCGACGGACGAATACTATTGGATCATCGCACTTGTGCTACCTACCTACTTACTCAAAAACCTGTCCCTAGCTCACACGGGTACCCGTGCGAATGTTCACAACGCGGCGGCGGCGCCATCAGTACCAATACCGCACAAGCCAGCCATCGGCGCCCAGTTAGCTCAATCGGTAGAGCGTGAGACTCTTAATCTCAAGGTTGCGGGTGAGTAGCATGAACACCCCGGGCTTCTGATGTGTTCAAATTTGACTGACAACAATAAAATAGGTTCGACCCCCGCATCGGGCTCAATTCCTGATGTCTCCCAGGTGAACTGGGAGTAACAACAACCTCTTTTTTCATCCGATTATTTCCCCTCGGAACCATATTTTTTATTTATTCATTTTTTTGTCTTCTCGTACTGTTAAGGTTTTTAGACACGGCTACTCATTGATTTATAGTTTTTTTCTTTAAGCTGCGTGTAGCATCCTTTTTTTGGACATCGTCAAATTCAAGGTAATTAGGTATTTCTTTTTCCTCGCTTCGGCACACTAAACCCTTTAGACCAAAGCGCCGCCCACACATTTGATTGCCAGCGCATGTTGTCCTGCAGACCAACAACAAGCTTTCCCATTCATGAGCTCTTTTTGGAGGTCGGTTTCCAACAATTCATCAGAAAGGCAACGTGGCTGAGTGGTTAAAGCGTATGACTAGAAATCATATCCCTTCGGGGTCACAGGTTCGAGTCCTGTCGTTGTCGTTCGATCACACTGTGCTCTCCCAGGAGCCGGTGTCGATTCATCACCTTGGTCTGGTGGTCTAGTGGTATGATTCTCGCTTAGGGCACACCCTATGCTTAGCATGCGAGAGGTCCCGGGTTCAATCCCCGGCCAGACCCTTTACTTTTGCCATTTTTGCCATTTTTTGCCCTGAATACTAGGCGTACCCTACACGCCGTACTGGGCCCGGCGCCGCAGCTGTGCGCCCTTCCATGACAAGACCCGATCGGACCGTTGGTCACTAGCAAACCGTCGATATATAAATATTTTTATGTATCCCGCTAGAACTGCCTGCTCGGCATCTCTGTGAAGTTCACTCTTTGTTTTATTATATTCGTGCCAGTCCTACGCAAGTGCCAGTTAATACTTACCTAGCCTGTCAACACAATGACCCAATCCCAGACCCATTGGGTTGTTGTCGCATTGGAGACATGTTGGTGTCCGCTGCCCGACTTCGCCCTCCCAGAACCTCATACCGTAAGGAATTCTTCTCATCTTGGCCTTCTTCTAGCGACAATGATTTTATTATGGGCCCAAACAATGTCTTAGAGGCTCCTGTAATTGACAGCCCTCTTCGAATCACGCAGAGAAAGGCCACGACTGACTCTTTTTGTGGCAGATTGAATTCCAGAGCTACGAGCGCACGCGTCCGGATGAAATAGCAGAGCGGGTTCGTGATGCTGATATAATAATTATGACAATCCTGCCGTTGACGGCAGAGATCCTGAGCGCCGAGGTAACCCCACGCCTGAAAAGTAGGGTCGCCCCAAATCATCCTGTTATTCCCATGGCCAACTATCTCCGGCGCAGTCTGGAGCTACGCCACCACTTATAAAGCAGAATAGCGGCTGACTGTGAGCTCTCAACAGTGGTATCAGTCATCGCTTCAGGCACGGACACTGTAGACTTGGCAGCATGTCGGGCTCGAGGCATAGTCGTGGGCAATACGCCGCACTGCAACGTCAGCGCGGTTACTGAGCACGTGCTGGCGCTTTACTTCGCAACGCGCCGTTCCATCCTGCCGACGAACTCGCTGGCACGTTCTGGTGGCTGGGCGGCCAAGAAGACACAACTGGCCATCATGAATGGCCCCGACGGCAAGCCGCCCAGGACATGCTCCGACGAGACCGTCGGCATCATCGGGTACGGCGCGATCGGGAAGAACGTCGAGTCGACGGCCCGGTTGCTGGGGATGAAAACCCTCATCGCCGGGCGCAAGGGCGCCTCCGCACCGGACGGTCGCGTCCCGTTCGAGACGGTGATCCGCGAGTCCTCGGTCCTCGTAGTCTGCCTCCCGCGCTCACCCGAGACCCTCAATCTCATCTCCGGGGCCGAGTTCGACCGGATGAGGCCCTGGGGACTGCTCATCAACGTGTCGCGGGGCGGCATCGTGGACGAGGCGGCCCTCGTCTCCGCGCTGAAGGAGGGCAAGATCGCGGGGGCGGGCACGGACGTCTTCTCTCGGGAGCCGGCGGAACCGGCCGACAACGTCCTGCTCGCGCCCGACACGGCGGACCTCAATCTGGTTACGACACCCCACGTGGCCTGGTACGCGGAGGAAACTATGGAGAACTACCGTCAAACATGCAGGGCGAACGTCGCCGCCTTTGTCACGAGCAGGACCGCCAAACACCAGGTCTGCTAATGCCACAGATAGCGGAGGAGGAGTGAGCGACATTTGATATACTTATGTGCATCATGTTAATATGATTACCCTAGGTACATGGCATGTTAAAAACCTAGACCTCGACGTTTTATTTTTAGAACAGAGTGGCATGCATACACCGCATGAACAAACAGAATGTGTCGTGCAGTAGAGGGGTGACAAGGAAGCTAGATCACTTTTCTCTAGGTAGTACGAGGAGCATTCACATTTTAAGCAGCATTGTAGGTATTAGATAGTACTTATAATAGTGGCTATGAGGGCATAACTGCAAATTACTGAGTAGGCAGTGCTGGTAAATATGGGGCGTGTATGTGGCCATCCCTCCACGGTTCAAGCTGTGGCGTCAACATAATGAAGACGGAAAATTCTAGATAGTCTGTCGATGCCTTGCATAACCGGGCGGAGCTAATACCCCGGTACCGCCGTTACAGGTGAAAACCAGATCGTGTTATTGTTGTCGTCATATTTCAGTAGCCCTGCACTCATGGGAACCAATCAGCTCCCTATTTTTCGGAGAATTGATCCCGAAACGGCAATGAATAACACGAGCCATCTAAGCGAGGTCTCCTCGCCAGTCCGGGGTGAGATTCAATGTCCAATCTGAATCGGTGGTGCCCCTCGGCCCTTGGATATATAAGGATTCATCTATTAGGTAAGGTAAGATGATGTAGTTGGGCCAGGGACAGGGCTAAGTCCCTCGCCCTGCCCCAGAGCCGTTGCAAAGCCTCTGTCAACGAAAACGTCAACGTCGAGGCCAACATTTAGAATAGTCTCTAGGCTTTAGCTGTGCCAACAGGCCTAAGGCCCAGTTTAATATCACCCTTGAATTAAACCCTGCCAGACCGCGGTTTCGACTGCTGATCGTAGGCTGATGCCATTGATGCTACGGCCAAGTGGCGAGGGTTGATCGCCCTGGTCAAGAACCGCAGCCCTTACATAGGGACTAGAAATCAAAAAGGTCGCCTGTATTATGCAGTAGCTTCGTGTTTCCCATGCCATCCTCTCCCACATTTACATCACCCACCACACCATATATAGGACTATCATGGTGCCCTCTCGCTATGACGTCCCTCCGAGCTCACCATAGCACTTCTGATCCGGGAGCACAGCGTCCGAGTTTCGAGCGGCCGCGTTTCAACTCCCAAATCACATCCGACAGACTAGAAGAAGGCTCGAAATCCTTTGCGCTCCTCATGAGCGGTCGAATTCGCAAAGGCAGGAAATCGGTGTTTCGGGAGATTGGGCTGGACGATGACGCGGAAGCCGCCGGTGATCCAGCCGGTAGGCCGAGCTGCGAGGAGAAGAACTCCCTTGAGATGATACGGGAACAAACACAGTCGACGCCCCCGACGCATGAGCGCGGGGGCTCCCCCGAGCGAAAGATGACATGGCAAAAGTCTCGATGGCTCTCGAAGTTGATCCCCGAAAAGAGACCGCAGATCAAGTCGGCTGCAACGGCACCTCCCGCTGCCATATCGGGGCTGCAGAGACTTACCATGATCGCCATACTCATTGCGGTGGTCATCCCCGCGATAGGCTATAATACTGGCCGTCGCAAAGTTGAAGTGAACGGCGCCGACGCGGGCGTGATTCGAGAGCCTATTGTCCGATCTGGACTACAAGATCGCGCAAACAGCCCGACAGACGTCTGCAAGAGGTGGGCTGGGCAAAGTATGCATTTTCAGACCTGATGATAGGGCAGATACTAACAATAACAGGTGCCGTACTGAATGGTACACTTTATTATTATGGTGGCCGATCGAAGACGTCTGCAGACCAAACTGACAACACATGGAGTACGCAACCTAATGGACCTTTTACCGAATCATGCCACTAACAATGAGTTACCTAGACAACGATTTTTTGACGGTTGACTTAACTAAGTCATGGGATATCAGTTCCCCCTCCATAAAAGGGATGACCCAACCGTCCGGCCCGCCGGCCGTTTCGCTGGGATATCTCTGGAACGACTTCGACCATTTGTATCTGTACGGGGGCGAGTTCGACTTATCATCCACTCCATCGCCCGTCTCGACCTGGATGTACGATATAGCGTCGTCTACCTGGACCGAACTTAAAAACCCGAAAACATCTGCCGGCGAGTTTTCCGATGCTGGAGGGGCGCCTATCCAGCGCGCAGCAGAAGGAGCTGGCGTATCTGTGCCCGAACTGGGTCTGAGTTGGTACTTTGGCGGCCACCGTGAGTGACCCCCTCGAGTTGTTTCCTCTGTTTGCGACCTATAGAATATGAAGGCTCCTTTCCGGGGCGAAATCATGTCTTCGATCCTCTTCATAAGCGCAAAGCGTCTGCAGACTACTTTTAGAATAGCCATAGCTGACTCAGAGTGTCGCAGTCGATTGGGCCACGACGCCCGGATGGTCGAACCAGGTGCCCCGAGTATACCTGAAGAGCCTCCTCGAATTCACGCATCCCGGCTACGCGAACGTGCAGATCGACTCCCTCCACAACGCCGGGGCGCCGAGCGAGGGCGCGTACCGCAACATCACGTGGGCCGGGGACCAGAATCAGGACGGGTTCACGGAGCGCGCGGACGGCGTCCTCGTCTACGTGCCCGGCTGGGGGCCGGGCGGGATCCTGCTCGGCCTCGGCGGCGGCGCGGTGGGCGACCACGAGACGACGGACGCCTTCGCCCCCATGGCCACCATCGACGTCTACGACATCGCCAGCAGCCAATGGTACCACCAGGCGACGTCCGGGGACGAGAAGCCCGGCGTGCGCGTGAACCCCTGCGCCGTGGTCTTCTCGGCGCCCGACGCGAGCTCCTTCAACGTCTACCTGTACGGCGGGCAGAACCTGCTGCCCGTCGGCGAGCAGGAGCAGTACGCCGACGTCTGGATCCTCACCGTCCCCGCCTTCACCTGGATCCGCGTCGACCCGGGCGGCGACGCGCCGCCCCCGCCGCGCGCGGGCCACGCGTGCGCGGCGCGAGACGGGCAGGTGGTCGTCGTCGGTGGTTACGTAGGCGAGGACAAGAACGTCGCGTGCGAGAGCCCCGGCGTCTACGCCTTCGACGCGTCCGCGCTCGCGTGGCGGTCGTCCTTCGCCGCCGCCGACCACGCGGCCGACGCCAACGCCGACAACTCGGTGCTCGCCGGCAGCTACGGCTACCGCGTGCCGGGCGCCGTGCAGTCCGTCATCGGCGGCTCGTCGGACGGCGGCGCGACGGCGACGCAGCCCGCGGCCGGCCCCGCGACCGACGGGCCCTTCAAGACCGGGGTGCCCCCCGTCTTCACCGTGACGGCGACGGGGCCCGGGGCGACCGTGACCGGCCCCGGAGGCGGCAGCGGCGGCGGCGGTGGCATCGGTCCCTCTGGTGGCGATGGAGGAGACGGGGCCAGCGCCCGGCGCGGCGGTACCATCGCCGCGGGCGTCGTCGCGGGCGTCGCCGGCCTGCTGGCGTTCTACCTGGGCTTCTGCGCCTGGCTCTGGCG